TTTTGAGGCAATCTTTATCAAATAGACACTCTAGCGCAGCGCCGGTGTTCGATTATATTTATTATATCGATACTAAGGTGGCTCATGTGCACATGTAATCCGTGCACTTGCCATTTGCGATTGGAATTATTAGCGTCGGATTGGGAAATAATTAAATTTTTTACCTTAATGTCAATTTTGTAGTTTGTGATATCAGAAGTTTCAATCCGACACTGATAATTCTAATCGCAAACTGCAAGTTCAAGGATTACATCTGCACGCATGCATGATCTTTATGACAGATGGACAGTGGAATTTCCTAAAGGCATTATGCTTTTAGAGTTTATGGCCGCAAATGGGTCTAGGAAGGTATGAGGTGGTGGAAAGGCACAACTAATGTGTCAAAATATCAAGAAATTTTGAAAAACAGTTTTGTGCCAAGTGCGAGAGGCCTTTACCAGGATATGAATTTTATATTTCAACAGGATGGCGGGGCATGCCATACGGCTAAAACTACTAAAAAATGGTTTAGATGACATGAACATCATGGTCCCCTCATGGCCTTCGCACAGTCCGGACCTTAATGTTATCGAGACATATGCCATAAAACAACACAAAAATTGTGCCACGATCCCCAAGAAACCGTTGCCCATTTGACGATGATATTAAGTGAATTATGGCAACATTTTTACTCTGGCGTATGTCAATCATAATAATAATATTAATAAAAATAATGCTAAACAGGCATGCAGTGGTTGCAAACGTTCATGCCGATATAACGCCATATTATAACAGTTATTTTTTAAAGTGTCCGAACATTTAGTTGTCACGATATTGTGCAGTATTTTTGTTTGTTTATTGGCCTACAGTTTATTTTAATGTTTATAGAAACTAAACTATTTAAATACTCATTAGAAATGTTAGATTTTAATATATTTTTAATGTATTTCTTAAGTATTGTAATATGTATTTCTCTATGGATGCAACATACAACCATGGTACAAAGAAAACAATGTATGATATTGCGCAGGTTGGTCGCTACGTCACAGGTGATAACAGGCGCTATTGGTCAGCACGCTCCGCGCGCCTGTTCAAATCGTCGAGATATTGTAACGAACCTATTTTTTTGTATATATACCGTCATTGAACTATCGCTAAGCAAGTTATAGGCTAGAGTCAGGCTAGGAAGCGAGAGACCGGAGTTCGAATCTCGGCCGGGGCATAACTTTTTATTTAATTTTTTAAATACTGTTGTATTCTATTAAATAGTTTATTTGTAGTATAAAAAATGAACTATATGTTCTGTTATTTTTTTATCTCCGTTATTAATATAAATTGATTGTTGGTACAATACCTCATTTAATATAAAATAATATTCTACTTTTTGAAATGTATCGTGCCCTAATTGTACCTAAAAGTAATATATTTTTACAGTGATATACATATTGTAAACTATTTAATATTTCCAGTCTCTTAAAAAGTTAATTTGTATTGAATAATTGCCTACCCCGATTAAAGGAAATGTGAGCTATAATCCTTGATGGGCATATTCTGGGAATGCAAATACTTCCTCTAAATTTTGGGTTTCGTTCAACCGATTTATTCTCAAAACTGAAACATCTACATATAAAAAGAAGCACAGGTCGCTAATTATAATTACCTTCATCCTTGGAATTACTTCTATTACAATTACAATACATTCATCTGCATTAGCATTTTCTACTTTTAGATTGCAAACAATTAAACTCCCAACATTTTTTAAATGATGTTACAATTCCTCTTGTGGTTACTTTTCCATAGATATCCTCATCTCTGTCCTCATGTCAGTTCAGAGACGATGAACATGAAAATTATTTACCATAAACATCGCAAACTAAAAACCTAATTAACAATTTTATACCGAATATAGAAGACGAACGAGGACAACTTAAAACCGAAATTAACGAAATAGCGGAACGATGGCGAACATACTGCGGAACACTGTATAAAGAAAAAGATCCTCAGCCTAGTTGCTCTTTCCACAGTGATATAATTAATGAAGAACCAGACATACTGAAATCGGAAATTGAAGCAGCAATAAAAAACCTAAAACATCATAAAGCCCCGGGACCAGATCACATCACGACCGAAATGCTCCAAGCGTCGAGAGATTTTGGTGTGGACATCTTGCACAAGTTATGTAATATGATATGGCGTACTCGCCAATGGCCATCAGATTGGACCGATTGTTCCACAATAACCATCCACAACAAAGGATCTCCAGCCAAATGCGACAACTTTCGTACCTTTGCGCTAATTTCACATGCCAGTAAGATTCTTCTTCATATCATTAACGAAAGGTTAAAACCATATATTCAACCACAAATCCCTCCAGAGCAAGCAGGATTCACAAGAGGTCGAGGAACACGTGAACAAATTTTGAATATCCGTCAGATTATCGAAAAGCCCTGAGAATTTAACAATCCGCTCTATATTTCTTTTCATAGACTATCGAAAAGCTTTTGACAAAGTCAAATGGTCAAAACTATGGATGGTTCTTAAAGAAATGGGCGTGCCTCTTCATTTGATTTCATTGATCCAGAATCTCTATGTAAATACTAAAGTGAATTACCACCAATGGCGTTACTTCGGAAGACTTCCAGCCTACCTGTGGTGTTAGGCAGGATGCATACTATCTCCTCACACTATTCAATATATATATATATATATATATATATATATATATATATATATATATATATATATATATATATATATATATATATATATATATATATATATATATATATATATATATATATATATATATATATATATATCCTATATATATATATATATATATATATATATATATATATATATATATATATATATATATATATATATATATATATATATATATATTATTTATTTTTTCTTGGCTTTAGGTCAGGTGAAAATGCGAAAACGGTTTTTATATTAAATGTTTCATGACGTTTCGACCTGGTAGGGTCTTTATCAAAATTTATTACTTGAACGTAGATTGTTTACTTATTACAACTTATCATTTTCTGAAGAATCTTAGCTTAGAAGAACATATATCCAAATTGGTTCCACAAATATATACAAACATGTAAATAAAAGTCGTCACAATTTTTGTATCGAGACATACACACATTTTAATGGATTTTACAACACTGTGTAAAAGGAAATTTTACAACACTGTAATGAAACAGTGTTGTGGAAATCCATTAAATGTGTATGTCTCTGTGCAAAAATTGTGATTTTATTGATATCATTGTGTTATATTTTGTGGAACCCATTTGGAATATGTTCTGTGCATAAAATTTCAGAAAGAAATGATTGAGTTATTGTAAGTAAAATAGTGATCTACGTTCAAGTAATAAATTTTTGATAAAATCCTACCAGGTCATGAAATCAGAACATATAAAATAAAAACTGTTTTTCGCATTTTACCTGGACCTAAAGCCAAGAAAAATTAAATAAAATATATATTGAGAGGTCAAAGAAAGGAATAAAAAAATATATATATATATACAGGGTGTCCCAGAAATGAGTGCAGATATTTTAGCTGGTGGTATAGTTCAACCCCAGAAACACGCCTATGAGGTTTTTTTTATGAAAAAATGTTGAAAATTTTATATTTTTCTTGACATTTTCCGGAAAATGTTGAAAAACTTTTGAGTGCCACTGTTCACTCCCTGGGAAATCGTTTACCGGGCATAGAAGTGTCGGAGAGAATGCAACGTTGCCACCTCCCTACCATACCCACATTCTGCATGTTTATCTATAAATTCAATTATTTTAAGTTGCTACACAGAAAAAAATACGAAAATTCATTTTATTCATATTAGTGTAGATTGCTCTACTAATTCTAGAGAAACGCGCAATATTTTTAAATATTTTTACAGTGGAGTAAAGCTGAAAAAATAAATCTTAACAATTATAGCTTCTTTTTTCGCCATATTAGGAAATATTTTCAATCGTTTCAATAAACAATTATAACCTTTAATGTTTAGTTAGAGCTTACCCTTTTAATGAAAGTGTTTTTTATCCAGCACACATATACGTAAACACATACACACCAAATATCACTTTTAAAATATTATTTAAAATTTTTCACATTATAATAATCAAACACTAAACTCATAAATACAATAAAAAATGTTAAAAAAACTTGCTTTAATAACTACTTATATCCGGAGGCTGATGGTAGACAGTCCGGGGTTTTCTTCGACATTTCTTCAAAACCGACACCAACCCCGACAACGATTTCGAAAACACTGGAGGATTACAAATTACAAATTTTTATTTAGAAATTTTTTACCTTAACGTCCCCTACACTGACTGATGTATTACTATTATGGGTCAACGTTTTGGTGGTTGTATAAAGATAGCTAAATCAATTTTCTAAATGTTTAATGTATGGGTAGGGATATCCCAAAAATAAAATATAAAAGTACAAGAAGGGTATACCCAAGAAAGAATTAAGGTAAAACTCAAAGAGTATTCTACGTTATCTAAAATATAAAAATATGGGAAGCCCCGACAAAAAATCTGACACCTGATATCAAAGTGATAAACAAACATCGGCGCATGCGGCAGCGAGCACTTACATAATTTTTCAGTTCATTGCTAGATGGCCTTTTACTAGGAATGCACTGCAAACAAATATTCAGCAAAACTAAAGTGTTTTTCCTTATTCTAAATTCTAACAAATAAATAAACCTGTAAAACTGTATAAATAAAATCGGTCTTCGATTTAAAAAAAAGATCGATTATACCAAAAATCGTTTGATAAAAATCACGTCGATTTGATAATAATCGATTCGAATTGTACATCCCTAGTTATGGTGTGTAGTTTAAGGTTATGTTTAAGGTTAATCGTGGAGTTGTTAAATTCGCACAAAAACAGAACAGAAAACAACAAAAACAATGCAAACAATGCCAAATAAACCTGTAAAAAGTACTTTTATTATTCAAAGAATGAAATATCATATGAATTCAGTTGGTATACGAATATTTTTTTTGATTTATTTATAATGTTTGGTGTCAAAAATATATGTGAGAAATGAGGTAAACAGTTTAAATGTCTTAATAAATTCGTTTTAATTAATCTATTAACTTTCAGGTATCTACCTAATGGTAGGAAGAAATTAATTATGTAATGGTAGGGAAGAATAATTTCACTTTAATTATGTATTAGAAAATCAGTAATCTTAAATTAGGATGCATCAATGGAGAAGAAGGCAATTGTAATCACAATACAATAATAGATCTACAAATACCAAACAATACATTAAATCAAAATCTCAGTAACACTGTTATTATGTAATCCCTGTGGTCTTATTAAGTATAAAGTTTTGTTTTACATGAAAATAATTATCCCATTTAATTATGCATTAAATTTTAGTGTCAGCTTATTGATAGCTCGATTACCAGTCAAATAGTTTCTGATGTTTCTATACTATATGAAGAAGAAAATTTGATCTGATTAGATTAATTCAGATGTAAATTTATGTTATACGGTAAGATATTTTTAAACAAACCAAGAAAGTTCTCTTCAGACAGAGTTCTGGTCTGAAATTGCAAATATTAACGAAAAGTTATACATGTAGTTTTCTATTCATAAATGATATTATTGATTTTATTCTAGGTGAATGTATCAGTCATATATTATGCAGAATATATTGAGAAAAATGGTAAAACTAACTAAAAGTGCTAACAAAATTTCTTAGAAGTTATCGATATACCTAATTATTAGAAGCTGTAACAAATGTTCAAAGAGTCAGAGTATACTTTATTAGAAGTGTGTTAGATAGAATTATACACTTTAAAGAAATATCTTTTATTATTGCAGGTGTGCATATTGTGTAATGCATATAATATGTGAAATCTATTATTACATACAAAGATTGAAAATTATTTAAGCAGCTACCTGTATGTTGTCTCACAAATCTCATTTAGTGAATGGGTTATTAAAAATTGAACATATTTACTCTGAGAATATTGTGGATATGGATATCTGGAAAGCATGTTATAACCATTTTTTTTTTAGGATTTATGAAATGATTACATAAATATACTAACAACAAATTGCAATGCATCTGTATATTAGAGACAAAGATGAAAGAGAGAGTAACAAAGGAATATATGTATTCAAAGAAAAATATCAAGACCATTTGTAGTAATTAAAATTAAAGAATAAAATGCATAAAATGTATACATATGATCGAAAAAAACGGCGTCCAGTTGGCTGGGAAATGACGATCAATGACATTTCCTATATAAATTTACATATAAAATGACAAGCGACCTTCATTTCATAGCCATCGTTGACGCCGTTTTTTCTCGATCATACGGTAGTATTATGTGTGAACAAATTCTCATTTCATATAAAATTGGAGCTCTATCTAGAGTATATTTGAATATAAATGTTTTTATGTATTGGAAGGGGGACTGTAGTTTTCAAATATAATAAAGAAAATAGACTAAAAAAACATGTGTGTAAGTTCTTTTTTTTTAAACTATTCTGTAGTTACACAGCTAAATGTGTTTCAAATAGGTTGCTTTTTCACAATAAAGTCAATACACAGTAATTATGCTTTACTTTTTCAAACACACTCTTGTTTTTATTATCAGAGTTATTAATATTAGAAAATTTAGTTACATGAATATAATAGGAGTAAATATTATGTTTCAAGTTTCAAATAAATTAGAATATGATATGCGTCATAATAGCTTAAATATGATTGCTAATAAAATACCTAGTTTATACACATTTAGATATATCTCTTTAAATATAAATTAGTATTGCCACCATGCGATTAATGGGAAATACAATATGGTCGTGAAAAAAAAAAACAGTGTCAGCGATGGCTATGATATAAAGATCGCTGTCAATTTGTAATGTAAGGAAATGTTATGGAGGGAATGTCACCGACCGTTATTTTCTAAGCCATTCTGGACGCCGTTTTTTCTGACCATACAGGTATTTCCTAGGTATGGAATTATGTCTCTAATATGTAGTTAGGTAATTTTTCCATTTGCCTATTGTTAATTATAACGTCGTCAAAATATAAAATTTGCTATATTTTTTAGTAATATCAGAACATGTTTTGAATAGTTTAATTAGTAAATAAGGCTACTAACATGTTCAGTTATTTTTTTTCTAAAGCTTTTTTGATAAAAAATCAGTATACCTGCTAAGACGTTAAATTGCCTGAGAGAAATTACGATCGATGCTATTCACCATCCACTTTTACACAATAAAATGCCATCGATCGTAATTTCAAAAGCAAGAAAACTTGCCATACCGTTTTTTCCAATGCAAATGGGCGGTGGGAGGAAAATTACAGATTCCTGTTTTATATTAACGACATTATTAATCGCATGTACACAAAGCATGTACACTATTAGAAATCGATCTAATTTCTAATATTATCGAGCTTTTAAAAATTCGAAAGTGATCGGAGATTGTGTTTAAAGTGTTGTGAAATGTTCGTTAGTGCATATTTTTGTGTCAGTAATCGGTACCGGTATAGGCAAATCGCGATGGAGTATACAACTCGAAGAGGTGGATATGCTAAGAGCATGGGTACTTTCTAGCAGGGGAAAGCGCTGTAGAAACTCGGAGACTTATTCCGAAGAGTATCCGAATAGATAAATCCCAATGCTCGAACCTTTGTAAGTATGGTTCAGCATTTGAGAATTCGGGAAAAGCAACGAGGGAATTGCTGCAAAACGTTAAAATTCCATGCTCAGAAGAAGAGAGCATGTATTGGAAATGGAGGTCGTCATGTTGAACAATTATTGTAATAGCATGCAGTCAAGAAGCCCGAAGGGTATATTACCGGGTGGTGCATCATCGTTGGAAATATAGGATATCCCATGCAAATTTTGAACTGTCGAGATATTGGATCCCCTTGTGCAAATTTGTAATGTATCTTTAAAACCATTTACGATTTAGCTCTAAAATTAATAGGGGAGCCAAAATATTTCCACAGTTGAAAATTTGCATAGTGTTGTTAAGAATTGTAGTGAAGTGATGTTATTAAGTGTAGTGTTATGTGCAGTTTTAAGAGTGGTAAAATGGAAAAAAGAAAGCTCTGCAGTTGTATCTCTCTGCTATAGGGATATCTTTTTTATTGTTTGGTAAGTTTTTCTTCTTTAGTTTATTTTGTGTAATGTGGAGAGTAGGGCTACTGGCGATCACCCACTTAAAAAAGTAACGCACCTCTGCAGAACCTCTTGGATGGTGTGGGATTTTGCAAGTACTTTTAAGTCTTTCTAGTCGATGTGGCAACAGCGGGCGGCAAACAAGCCGAGATCCGCAGGTCTCTCCTGGCGCCGGGGATCCACGAGATTCCCCGCGGCTCTCAAATGTCGCAATTTTTTTTTTTTAAACTTTCAAAGTTAAATAACTCGGTTATTTTCAATCTATTTTAAAATGGTGAAGAAAAATATGTTTCTTTGGGCCAGATATACCACCCCTTAAAATATCTGCACTCATTTCTAGGACTTTTATCCTGTATATATATATATATATATATATATATATATATATATATATATATATATATATATATATATATCTCTCATCTATCTATATATATATCTGGATTTATATATATATATATATATATATATATCTAGATTTTGCTATATATATATATATATATATATATATATATATATATATATATATAGGTTGTAACCAGAACGGTTTCCCCCCACTTCCCCTGACCAAATTTCAGCTGGGCCTGAAAAAATGGTTTTACGTTTTTTATATACGATTGGGGGTACACCGGTATTGTCACGGGCGGCGCCACCTTCGACATTAGTATAAGTGTATAAGCCGATTTACGTTGAATCGATGTATTCAGACCCAAGAACCGGCAACACGGTAAAGCAAACTATTAAAGGGAAACGAAGATATAGCCGTGTTATATTTGGTAGAAAACAAAATGCTCATACTTTAATTAGAATATTAAGAAATTCAGACAAAAAAAATCCGGTCGTTCGGCTAATAAATATTAGAAACAAAATTATTTCGATCGGCGGGTCAAAAATTGTACGAGTACCTAAAAATTTATTTCGATGCTATGATTTCGTTGTAGAAGTAACTAAATTTTTTTTCATCTAAATCGATCAGCGCGTCGTGTCAAAGAATTGTAGGAGTAACTACAAATTTATTTCGATGCTGTGATTTCGCTGTAGAAGTACCTAAAATTTTTTCGTCTAAATCGATCGTCGTGTCAAAAAATTGTACGATTACCTAGAAATTTATTTCGATACTATGACTTCGTTGTAGAAGTATTTAAAAATTATTTTCATTTAAATCGATCGTCGTATACCGGGTGCGTCTCAAAAGTTGCTTACCCCTACAACTTTTTTATTTTGTCAGATAAAAAAACGAGTTTTGGTATGTTTTTGTTATTAAAATGATAACATAAATTAGGATTGATTGACGTATTCAATTGTTTTTGGTCACTTCCTGTTTCACCGGAAATGACTGCAACTTTTGATTTTTAAATGACACCCCCGGTATGTTTTTACATTATTCGATAGAAAATCACACTCTGAATAGAATGGCATATCATAATATGTCAATTTTTGACATTTTCACATATGATTTATTTGTAACATGCGGTTCATAATGACAATTTGACTCGAGTACCAAATTGTGGTACCAAATTATTCGTAGAAAAATGCTTTTTCCAAATATGCTATCGAGCCACCTTTGTTCCGTTTGAAAAAATTGAGATATGATTAAAAATTCGATTTTGATATCTTATAACGGGCCCGGACAAGACACGAAAATCATTAGACTATCAAATCTATTTTTCCAAGGCTCCTTGATTAAAAATTAGTGTTTTTAACACATCCATGGCACTCTATAATAGATAGAAATTTAAAATAAGATTTTTTAAGCAAAAATGTCAAAAGTTGACATATTATGATATATTATTCTATTCAGAGTGTCATTTTCTATCGAATAATGTAAAAACATACCGGGGGTGTCATTTAATAATCAAAAGTTGTAGTCGTTTCCGGTGAAACTGGAAGTGACCAAAAACAATTGAATACGTCAATCAATTCCAATTTATGTCATATACTAACATACCAAATCTCGTTTTTTTTATCCAAAAAAAATAAATAAAAAAGTTATAGCGGTGGACCACTTTTGAGACGCACCCAGTATAAAATGACAGCAACCTTCATTTCATAGCCATCGCTGACGCTGATTTTTTTTTCGATTATACGGTAGCTAATCAGTACAATAATTAAT